GTTGTCCTAGGATAAGTATGAAATAACTTATTCCGTCACTCTACTATAAATTGTGAGATAAATAATTCAAGGACTCCTAATACCTCCAACCAAACGCAGGATAAAATAATTCTGCATTTTATTTTGAGATTATTATACCTTATGCATCACACTAAATGACCCTGTGTGTTTAACATTGAACCTATTATATTTTGGAAGTTATGAGTTCATATCAATTATTTATTGCAATTACAGTAAATTTCTACCATAAATTTATATTCGGCATCAAAAGTAATTAGGAATTCAGTTGAATCTGTAACTCTAATAATATTAAGTACGAGCAAAAGAAATGTACCTAACTCTTATTGAATATCCTGTTTTCTTCATCAATAATATACATTTTCCTCCAAAATTTTCAAAAGGTTCACTCACATTTCTTTTGAAAAAGTTGTAATATTTAAATAATGGAAAATGTTAGTCTAAGGTTACACATATGTGGAAATTCAAGAACAGGGAAACATTTTCCTTTTTAGCAGCTCTTCATTGACTTGTGAGTTGTGACTATAGTCTTGAGAGTTTCTTTGTTCCCCTGCAATGATCCAATTGTACTTTTATTTATAACAGCAATCTCTAGGAAACTGCTCTTCATTCACCTTCTTATATACCCACCCCTAAGCAAAGTACACTACATTATTAGTTTCTCTTCAATCCACTTTCTCAAGGTGTCTATACTTTCTTTTATAAATACACTTTCTTGAAACTTATTATAGTAAGTTTGAGTTCTTATGTTCATGTTGCATGACATAGCATTTTGAGGTTTTCTTGGATTTTGTTTAAATAAATGGCTGAGTTAACTTAAAGAATCATCTTATAGGTAGGGGCGGAACTAGAATTCTAGTTACAGGTTTGGTAGAATCCAGTAGTTTTGGCCAAATCTTGTATATTTATGTTAGAAATAATTTTTTCAGAGTTATCTTTTCTCGAATCTAGGTAATTAATGTTATACAATTGTTTCATTCCAAAAAATTACTGGATTGTACTTATTAACTCCAAACTTTATTAATTTCAGTGTTGATCTTTGAAGTTCAAGTCTACATAGCACTTATTTGATTTGTCTATGATAGGAGAGTAGAATAGTGTAAAAAGGAGGGAATTGATTGATTTTGTTTTACCATTTTCCTTGTAGAATAAAGAAGTTGATGAGCATACAGTATAGAAGAAGCTGAAAATGACGATTCTCAATGAAGAAAAATACGTGAGGTTAGTTCGATAATCAGCATCCTCTATCCTGTATTATGGTGTTATCGGATGTAAATTTTCAAGTTGTTTTGCATAGTACCTTTTGTACAAGTACTACTATATGATAGAAATATCTGTGTTTCCATCCTGCAGTATTCATTAAATTTTCTATCTAATATGACCTGTTCTTCTCAGGTTTGAACACTGCAAGTCAGAAGATAATGGGATGTTTTCAGTCAGAAAATCATCGATCAGCTCATGCATGAGTAGTATTAGAAGTGGAACTGCGAGGGGTTCCGATAGAATAAGTGACCTAATAAGAAAATCACTGTGCATCCCTTTCTTAAGTGACAGTTCAAGAAAAGTTTCAGGATCATCAATAAATAAAATTCTTGATCCTCAGGAACCATTTCTTCAGTTCTGGAACAAAGTATTTGTCTTGGCTTGTATAATTTCAGTGGCCATTGATCCATTGTTTTTCTACATTCCTGTCATTGATAACAAGAGGAAGTGCCTTGATTTGGATCGTACATTGAAGATCCCTATTTCTATTCTTCGATCAGTCTCCGATCTTTGCTATATCTATCATATCATCTTGCAGTTTCGAACTGGCTTTATTACTCCTTCTTCTCGAGTATTTGGTAGGGGTGAGTTGATTGAGGACTCCTCCCTAATAGCCAAGCGATACTTGTTTCCTTATTTCATCATCGACATTTTAGCCGTTCTTCCACTCCCGCAGGTTTGTGTCTAATTCCAGTGACTTACAGTTAAACTAAGACCATGTTATATGGAGTGTGTGTGTGTATATATTTATATTTACATGCACTTACTCTTATGTTGGTACAGATGGTGCTCTTTATCATCGCTCCTAACACGAATCGTCCCATTTCTCTGGTGACGAGGAAACAGTTGGTGATTGTTATATTTGCACAATATATTCCAAGACTCTTTAGGATATACCCATTATACAAGGAAGTAACAAGGACAACAGGCTTTTTAACTGAAACGGCGTGGGCTGGAGCTGCTTTCAATTTATTCCTATTCATGATAGCCAGTAATGTATGCTTTCTTATATCAGTCATCATATATCAATTGTGCTTTAAGTTATATGGTCAGAGTATGCAGAATTTCTTACATGTTTTCTGCAAAAATAAGTCATTTCTTACATTTCTGATTTCCTAATTATAGAGAAGATCAATACTGATGTTACGTTATGTATAGATGTTCTTTTTTCCCTTCACATGTATAATGATATGCGCAAATGTCTGAACTCAGGTAGTTGGAGCGTTTTGGTATTTGATCACAATAGAAAGACAAGATGACTGCTGGAGCCATGTATGTAAGGATATTACAAACTGTGTGCTAGACAGCATATGTTGTGGACATCTAGGGAAAGCAAACACTCAATTTCTAAATTCTTCTTGTCCTCTACTGAAACCGGAAGCTGTACAAGAGCATGACTTTGATTTTGGGATATTTCTAGATGCTCTTCAGTCTCGAGTTGCAGAAAAAAGAAACTTTTGGTCCAAACTCTCCTATTGCTTCTGGTGGGGGCTGCGAAATTTAAGGTCTGTGGTCCTGCTTTTTGGTTTTCATTATCCTTGCAAATCATTTGATAAATTTCTCTCAGCTAAACAAATTATTCTGTCTTATGCATCTCAGTTCTCTTGGCCAAGACCTTAAGACAAGCAACTCTGTATGGGAGATTCTCTTCGCCATCTTCATCTGCATTGTTGGCCTGATTCTGTTTTCGTTGCTTATTGGCAACATGCAGGTACGCATCTCTGGAGCAATTATTCTTACCTTAAAGTCTTGAACAAGTCAATTCTGTTTTAAAGTGAAAATTCTTCACATTCAATGCATTGATATGCATTCAGTAACTTCAATCTCTTCCTCTTAGTTTATGAGCTATTAAGAAAGTTTGAATAGATCAATGATTTGACAATGCCAAGCTTAAACCCCTTTTATATTCAAGATAAAGTTGTGATTTTACATTGGCCAAACTAGAGGAACAGATGAAACTTTGTTACGAAGAATTGAAGTCAACTAATGTTGCATTAGTTTCTGGCTACAGGAATATTTGCAGTCTATCACAGTTAGAGTAGAAGGAATGAGATTGAGAAGGCGAGATGCAGAACAGTGGATGTCTCACCGAATGCTTCCTGACAACCTGAGAGTGCGTATTCGAAGATATGAGCAGTACAAATGGCAAGAAACTAGAGGTGTTGATGAAGATTATCTAATTTCTAACCTTCCCAAAGACTTGAAAAGAGACGTAAAACGCCATCTATGTTGGTCTTTGCTCAAAAGAGTGAGTGCCTATTTTTGTGCTCATCATGCCCTTTCTTGCATTCTTGAAACTGTTGATCTTATTTGATCTTTTATATGCAGGTTCCCATGTTTGAGAAGATGGATGAACAGTTGCTGGATGCGTTGTGTGATCGACTAAAGCCGGCTCTTTTCACAGAGAATAGCTTCATAATCCGAGAAGGTGATCCAGTGAGTGAGATGCTTTTTCTCATGAGAGGTACTTTATTGACTATGACCACCAATGGCGGAAGAACTGGTTTCTTCAACTCTGCATCTCTCAAGGCTGGTGATTTCTGTGGAGAGGAGCTTCTTACATGGGCTTTGGACCCTCATGCTTCCTCGACTCTTCCCTCCTCAACTAGAACAGTAAAAGCTGTCATAGATGTCGAAGCTTTTGCTCTCACAGCTGATGATCTCAAGTTTGTCGCAGCCCAATTTAGACGTCTTCATAGCAAGCAGCTTCGGCATACTTTCAGGTATGTACACCAACTCTTGTTCAATTTCAAAACACGTCTTATACTGACATCAGTTTTGGTGAAGGCCCTTAACAATTTCAATGTACTTTGGGCTGTTTCAGATTCTATTCACAGCATTGGAGGACATGGGCAGCCTGCTTTATACAAGCAGCATGGCGTCGACACTGCAGGAACAAGCTTGAGAAATCTTTGAAAGAGGAAGAAGATAGACTACAGGCAGCATTAGCAAATGAGACAGCAAATTTACCAAGTCTTGGAGCTACCATTTATGCATCAAAGTTTGCTGCAAACGCGTTGCGTGCCATGAGGCGCAACCATCCAAAGGGTTCCAAATCATTTACCAGATTGAGTCCCTTACTGCTTCAGAAGCCAGCTGAACCTGATTTTAGCTCCTAAAGCTAGAAATATTGGAAAGGAAAGAGGCTCATCTATGACAGTTTGGTTTTAAGTGGTAGTTTTTACAGATAGAAGAGTCTGCTAACTCTTTGTAACATTAGAAACCATGAATATAAAACAGACACATCTCTACTGCCTTGTAAATTGTAGTGTTCTACTAAACTATGGCTTTCAATAGATTTTAGCTTATTTTACATGTTGTCACAGTCTAGTCAAATTTGAACTCTTAAGAAGAAAATGTTTGGAATATTCTTAGCCATGTTTAATACCTTTCTCCCGACAAAAATGTCAACAATTCATATAAATAAGTTTGATATACCGCTCAACTAGTCAACTTAGAGACGATATATATACAGCTCACATATATATCTTTTAAATGGTCATATTGTTGATCATGGAATTAAAATAAAAAGAAATATAAGACTAATTTTATAATTTATATTAAGTCAATAGGAATGGATGTCCAACATCTGAAAAAAGAACAAGTAGACAACTGAAATTTAAAGACTATAAGTAAGATTTGATCCTAACAAAAAGAGGAACAAAAGTACCCTTAGCTACTATACTATATAATATAAGCATCTAAGTGAAAAAATACTACTAGAATTTAGCACATAGCTTTTTCAACTCCTTGGCAACTTGTTCAATTTCTTCATCTCCTTTGATACAAAGCTTTTCCTTCATGTCCTTTGCCTTTTGCCTTACAAATTCACCATCCTTATCAAGCACAACTTGGTTGATTATGGCTGCAACTTCCTCTCTATGAAGCTTTCCATCACTATCCCTCACAACTTCCACAGCAATGCCAACATCTTCAACAAGCCTAGAATTAATTGGTTGATCAATATGCATAGGCATCGCGATAATCGGGACTCCATATTTCATACTTTCCATTACAGAACTCCATCCACAATGACTCACGAATCCACCAATACTCGAATGCTCCAAAAATTTTGCTTGTGGGGCCCATCCATTAAAAACTTTTCCCCTATTCCCTACCCTATTGAAAAAACCTTTAGGCAATGCCTCTTCAAGTTCAAGATTTTCCCCCTTTTGGAACCTTATTGGCCATATAAAATTCACCTTACTAGTTTCTAACCCATAAGCAATCTCTACCAAATCTTCCTTTGACAAAAAATATTCACTCCCAAAAGATACAAAAATTGTGGATTTCTTCTCTTTTTCATTCAACCATGTTATTAACTCTGATTCACTATCTTCAAGTGTAGGTTCTTGAACTAAAGGACCAAGAGGTACAACTTTTTTTCCAGTTAAATTAGTGATATAATCACTATACTTACCCTCAATCTCCTTAAAACTTTTAATCAAAACAATATCACAAGACAGGTAAAAACATTCTCTAACTCTCCTTTTATCCTCTTCAAGCTTTTCCACAGAGATAGATGCTTCTTGTTTCTCAATACGAGCTTTCTCATAATCGCGGTAACAAATAGACGAAAATGGAAATTTTATACCTGGCTTGTTGAACTCATGCAACATGTAAGCTGTCATCGTGGAGCTACTACTAATAAACTCAACAGCTGGGATTTTTAATTCAGCAGCAGACTTAGGAGCCCATGGTTGGAGAAAATCATAAATCAATAAATCGGGTTTTAGGGTTTTCAAAATTAGGGTAAAATCAGGACTAGCTAAGTCAAAAGCTTCTTTGAGAGTGTTCATGAGATGAGGTGGGAGGCCATTGGTGGTGTGGTGACTTGGAGGAAGATTTGGTAATGTTTGGAGATGAAGTTCCAAGAGGTGGATCGATGGTGAAAATTCCGGGCTAAGTTTTTTTTTTATAGAGTTCAGGATTACTGGCGTAGAACATAAGTAAATAACAAAGTTTCTTTGGCTTAGCTTTTTGGCTAACTCTAGGAATGGAGAGATGTGACCATAACCTAACCATGGAAACATTAAAACACGAAGGGGTTTATCGTGATTATTGGTGAAACCATTCATTATTAATTCTTCGAGTTTTTCTTTCTTTCTCAAACTAATATTTTTTTTTTTTATGAAATTGTTTCTATGGATCCGTTCGAATTTAAAGTTGAGCAACAAGTTCCCCATATGGTAAGTTCATGTAAATATTTAATGCACACACACGTAGAAGGAAAATGCGATAATGTATTTTTGGTGTACGTATAATATCTGCATGGTTCATTTTCCTTTTACGTTGATCTACTTACTTTATTATTTCTTCCCCTTCCATTTTAGTTTCTCTAATTGGTTTAATTTCTTCTTCCAGTTCTATTTCTGGTAATTAGTACTGCTAATTGGGGAGCCTATCGTAGTTATATATTATGTTTAGTTGGGTAATTAATACCCAACGGAAAATCAATCCATAAATATATATAGAACCCTAGATTCCCAAGTGTTTGTATGTATACTTCTATTAGACGAGATCCAAAAAAGGTAGCGAAATAATAATATATTTTTTTAGATTCTGTGGTTTTTATTTTTCAATTTTTTTAAAGTATGCTAGCAATTCAGAATTTCAGATGTTACGTATTATTAATGTAATCTTTTTAGATGAGATGGGAAAGAAATTAAGGTGCTTGCGTACTTTTATATATATATATATATATA